CGCACAGCCAGTTGGGTATTTTCGTAGACTGAGGAGCACCGAGGTCCACCAAGCTGGGCGTGGTGGCAGAATCAGCTGGCGCAGTGACATTTTCGTGCTCGCCGCCGGCGTATATAGTGTGCTGAAACCTCGCCGATTCAAACCTGGTCAGCTTTCAGCACAGTCAGAGCACAGCTGGTCTAGTGGTATTTTGGTAGACCGGCGGCGTAGTGCACATATGTCACCGATGCCTCACTGGCAAGTTTCCACAGTGTCAGGCACATTTCAGTACAACAAATAATAACAACCAATATTCTGAGTCAGCACATGCATTTAGATCTATATAGATATATCTGATCTGATGAGCGCATTTAGCACGCATTTAGACACACAACTTGATGGATTTCTTCTTCAATAATCTAACATGCAGGGTCCAAAGCCTTCAGTGCAGACTGAATTAAGGTGTGTTCAGCCATATTTTCCTATTTATCCACCATAAGGCTGAACTGGAACAAAGTTTACACATTTTTGTATTTTTTTTGTTACAGTTAATGGTTAATAACTAGCTATGCTTCTGAGTAGCTAGGCTTTGCTTCGATTGGCTTTGCTCTTCAGAGGTTGGTCTGCAACCTCTGAAGAGCAAAGCCAATATGAAATCATAAAAAGGATATGGCATGGAATTCCATAGCAGGAGTAATGGGAGTGGGTGGTAAGTTACAAATTAGTACCAATATATGTTATTTCACTGGAATCGTTTGTTCATGTAAATTTAATGAAACAGTGTCTAGTTATACATCTAGAAACCCATGAATATATTTGCAACAACTATCTATTAAAGGGTTATTTGATATTTATGAAGAACTTTCTTTTGGTTATAATTGTTACTATTATTAGTGTCATTAAGTCATGAAATGCAGTAAATTCAAGTTCAGTTATGCAATATGTATCTACAATTGTAATATGTACGCTTTGTATGTATGATGCATGATATTGTATGTATGATGTATAGTTGTGTGAAACATTTATCAAAGTAAAACAATAATAATAATGATAACAAGGGAAATCTTCGCTGTTTTAACCACAACACTAAGTAAAGTCTGTAGTGGGAGAAGTGCTGTAGAGCTTGCATCCTGATCACATAACTAAGGCTGCAGTCATTTACACTTGCACACTGGGGGACTAAAAGGAAATTGCCAAACCAGTATATTTTCAATACAAATCACTCACTATTCACAACACTCTACACTCTACAGGAGAGGTTATCCTCACCTCTGTCTGCATGTGGGTCAAACGAACAGGAACCTTCCGCTGTGCCACAGACTGTGTCACCAGCAGAAAGTGGATCCCTAGCACAGACTGTCTCCACAGCATAGTCTTTTTCAGGGCCCACAACATCTGTGAGTGACAGGCCACACAGGTCCCTGAGCCCTAGAGAGACGGGGTCTCACCCGGACCCAAGGAGGAGCTGCAGACCACAACAAACTTCTGATGTGGAAGACCGTCTCCTTTCAATTTTACAGCAGCCTATTCCAAAACCGAACAGTAAATCTGATGAGTGCTATTATTTTGCAATGAGCTTCATCTGACAGTTGCACCATATGGACCATAACAGGAGGCTGCAGGCCAAAACTGGTATTCTGAATTTACTTGATAACATAGAGAGTAGCACACCTTCAGTGCAAGAGTCCAGACAGCAATTCATTTGAACTCCACCTCAACAACCCCCCACATTCCACACACCTCTTGCACCTTGGCCCAGGCCAGGTGCTTTCAAGCCATTAACACGTCCCCCACCAGTAAACCCTATAGGGCAGTTCACACATATGATGGCCTCAGATGACACTCAGTGGGTTGAGCGCAGCACCCCATACTTAGATCTCTGGGTTGTGTTCTTGTCATTTGTAAATAGTTGTTTTGCTGTGATTTAGTCTCTGTTTTTATATACCAATTCTTATTTTCTCCGGCTGCTTTTACATTATGGCTTTAACTTGTTTTCCAGTGATAACGTTTTCTGTCAAATTTTGAAAAGTATCAAGGTCAAACATATTATGATCAGTGATTTCTTTGTGCACATAGTGTCAAACCCACCTCAGTACAATGGCCGGTCTCTGCTTTGCTTCGATGGCAGCTCTGAAGTTTGTGTTGTATTTTGTGAGTTCTGGGCCAGTGATTAGGAGCAGGTGATCAATCTGCTCTGCACTCATTTGAAAGTACTGATGATGCCATTGACTGTCCTGGCGCAGTTCAGCCACAAGATTATGAAAATATCCTTGTTGATGCCTGCGTTGGTTTAATGGATGGACTCACTGCCCGCTTGTTCTCCTTCTTCCCCTCCTCTGTAGTCTTGCAAGCAGAATTAACAAAGCAACTGCTCTCCTCCTAGCAGCAGGCACTGAAATGCACAGAAAAACACATTTCATGAGTGTTGTTACCAGGTTAATAACAGTATGCTCTTTGTACTACAGCATATGTTATCTCAAGCTATTTTCTTTTACTTTTCCATTTCAAACTTGAACAACTATAGTTACATTTTTTAACATGGCCTTGTACTTTCCAAAGGCATCAAAAAGACATACTAATAAAATGTTTAGTTTATTATCTGTTTTGTAGATAAAGATAAATATTGCACTTACCCATGGTTAATTCCCAATCTCCAAAAAAGTGTATGATCTCCTGGTCTGGACAGAATGGATTTCCTCCTCTGGAAGGACACAATCTATCACTCGTATGTTTATGTGGCTGTTTTTATAAATTATTATAGATATTGCTTGTGAATTCAGGGGTTCTTGTGATTCCTCAGGATTCCTGCCGTCCGAAATTCATGACATTTGCCTCACAAATGCATCTGGTTGCATTTGGCAGACAGTCAAAATTGCCAACATTTAACATGCAGTGGAATTCAGGGGTTAGGGCCTGATCTACTAAAGATTTGAGTGTATAAAGACGTGCAAATTTGATGGTGCGCAAAGCTGATCTACTTACCAGGTGCACTGAGAACTGGGTCCGTCAAATAAGCAAAATAGTATGTGCAATCCATGTAGCTTGTTTGCCTTAATGAATAGGCAAAATGTATGCAGACTATAAGAACATGCAAAATACTGGGAGGAGAAGATGCAAATGGAATCATTTATCACCTACAATGTGACTTATCAAACCTCGAACTGGTTGCAGTAACTGTTTTAACGTCTATATTTAGCACGTTTGAAAGGCACATGCAAACTGGCACAGCATTACGCACAAATGGCTGCAGTCATTGTGGAGAGAAAGAGGCAAAAGTGCAATGACATCACACATTTCTGGCTAAATGAAAACAACCTGTGAGTAAATGAAAGCACTTATTAAATTGCATGAGTTCAGTGGTGTTAGGATGAGTTTCTTTAGCCAGTCATATTAGCCTTTAGAGTGTTGGAGCTGTGTCACTCAAATACCTCAGATACTTTGGTGTTAGATTGTTGGAGCCGGGGGCCTCCGACAACCATCCCTGACCGAAGAACCCTGTACACATTATTTACATCATGTAGGTCCCCAAAATATGTTTTGCCATGGTATTTCTTGGGACCCTCCACATGTTCACCTAAGGCTTTTTAAAATATGTTGTCCTTTGTTTTTACCGTACATGGATTTCTCTTAGGGTCAACTAAATATCAACAGTATGCTTAGAGTTGTGGACCGCTATATATACTTGAACTATATACTTGAACGGTCTTAGACCACTCTTTGTCACACATGTGGCATGATGAAGCTGTAACCCAGATCTGCAACCAGTAAAGCTTGTCAAACTGACCATTCGTGTGGACCTTCCATTCTTTCAAGTGTGAACCTGGGCTGTGATTGTGATTGTATTGCTCACCTGATTTGAGCATTAAAAAAGATCTGCTATGGGATGCCTAGTAGCCCTTGTGCAATTGGCTCTTAATTTTTTTTTTTCACAGTCTGAATGGTTAATGAATTTAACTTGATAAATATTAATAGTTCCCTGAATGGGCTTGCTGAGATGTGTCGATATTAATCAATATTAGAGTGGGCCCACTCGCAGTAGAGGGACAGTGTGAATATAGGTGTCCAGAGAGACAAGAATAGATACTGAAGTCCTTGGAGGACGTGTTGATAAATATTGAACAGGTACTACTGTCTGGTAGTCTGACAGACTGACCGCTCGACGGCCCCGAATCAGTCATTAGCAGAGTGGTACTTCTGTTTTTTTAAAATCTGAAGACGTCATTCGATGACGCGGTTGTTTTATTGTTGTTACTGTTTAATAGTCTGACGGACTGACCACACGGCGGCCCCAATTTTATTCAGTGGCAGTTGTAGTGTGATTTTGTATAGGGAAATCCATGTATTGAGTAATATCGACCCATAACAGCTCCGCTTTTCACTGGGTAACATATGAAAATCCTAAATAAGGAATTGTAAATGATCACACAAACTAAACAGTTTTTACACTTTACATACTAACACGCAGTCTTAGTTTTACTAATTAATGAACCTTTACCTTACAATGGGTTCACAGGCCAGTAAATTAAAAGGGCCTCCGGGCATGATCAAAAATAAATCTGAGCTTCACTTGCCCAGAAAAGAAAGAAAAGTGATAAAATAATTGTTAAAAGATGCTGCCCAGTTGAACACTGTTCCAGTTAAGCCTGTTGCTCTGATGTCAGCTAGGGAGTGGATGCATATGAAATTGGGGTTTTATTATGTTGAACCTTTTTTGTCAAACTTAGCGGAATGGACAGATAATCGATTTCCAAAGGAAGGCAGTTTTTAACAAAAAGAAATTAAACATTGTACTTGAATTGTTAATAGATAATACTGCTATTGCCAATCCTCTCTGAAATATGGATTATATGACAGAAGTGTATCATGTTTGGGCCTCAATGGCTAATCAGTTCCCTGGTAATATTAGTAAAGTAGAAATGAAAAAGAAAAGGACTGTTTTTTCTATGAAGCAGGACACTGTCCAAGCACAACCTGGAAAAGTTGACAGTCCTGTTGCACTGTCTTGTAATTCCCCAGAGTCAATGCCTCCACATTTGACCCTCTCCAGTGCAAATGTAAATGATTACAGTGATGACGATGACAGCTGGCTCTTTCTCCATGTGATGGAAGAAAATGAACAGCCCAGTTTGGTGCCCAGAATAAGCCCCACTGTCTTGTTTGCCGATGTAGGGGTGCCGAATCTTGCAGTGAGAAAGTTTCAGGTGAGTGCATTGAGCGATGCCTCCAAAATTGTCAAACATGAATTTTTTGCTTATACTCTTGAAAGTTTTTTTTTACAAAGATAAAGCTCGTAGTGCCAAACTACAGTATGTCAGAGAATACATGTCTTGTGAATTTAAGCGCATGTTTAAAATAATAAAGAAAGGTCATGATATCTCTCTGAATGATTTATCAAAGCCATTGGTTGACTGCTTCAAATCAGTTTTACGCCGATATAAGACAGACTCTAAGACTCACCTTGATTTAACAAAGGCCATTAGTAGCAGGCAGTTTAATGGTTTTATTTCAAGAATTTCTGATGCTGAGACACAGGCCGTTTGTGAATTCCTTGATCATCAGTTGAGTGAAATGAAGGACAGTGAGCTGAGAACCCCGTCCGCTGTCAAAGATGATGTAAATCTGATGACAACACTTATTACTGTCAATAATCGTGTAATGGATAAACCATTGACTCTCACTGATATCTCTCGGATTAATGAGATGCTCCGTCACCGTTGAACAATCCTACAGCATTTATGAATTGGTGGACCACAGCATTCATGCATACATCTCTGTCTGGACGAGATGTTAGAAACATTGTCGAGGCAAACCTCAAAACTCAGATTTGTACTCCCAAGATGGCCACCCATGGGACATTCAAGATGGCTGCCCCTTGGTACACCTAAAATGGCCGCCCTGTACATCAAAGATGGCCGACCTTTGGGTGTCGGCTGATTAGGAACCCCTGAAAAGCTGTGTGAGTTTTGGCAGAGAACAAAAGAGTAAACAACTTCAAGCAGAAGCAGCTCCACAAAAAGGACAAAGAATCAAGAACCACTCAACTATACAAGTTCCATGACGCTAATGGTTGCTAGTCTTTTCACTTACCTTGTGTGTTTGAAATGTGTTAGAGATGCTGCTTGTTAAGTGCTACTGTTAAAATGTATTGTGGGAAAAGGCAGTATTGCATTGCAGCAACATTTGCTTTAAGTTTAAGTACTTATTTGTTGGTAGAACTTTATTTGAAAAGGCCCTAATTTATCTTGCTTATTTGCTTAAAAAGAAGGTCTAAGTTAAAAGTTTAAAATTTACTTACCTTGGAATTTACTAACCTTTTACAATTTAAAAGTTTAGTTTAATCTAAAGACAATTTAAAATGCTTAAACATATCATTTAAAGTTTAAACTCAATGTACAAAAGTTACGAAAATAATTGAATGTTTAACTTGATAAGCTGCCTTAAAACACTTTGTTTAAATATATTAATTGGTTTAAACATTGGTTAATTAACTAAAAATGTTTAATGTGTTTAAATTAATGGCAACATTTAAAAATTTAATTATTGAATTATTAAAAGTGATTTATTCTTTGATATGGCATGTTGCTAATTGTTGTTTCTGTCTTGAAGGTTTACAACCTGATGAAAAAGAACAACCAATCAACGTCAAAGAGCCAAATGAAAAGTGGAAAATAAAGAAGTTGATTGAGTTGGAAATCGAGTTGTCCTGGGTCATTTGGAACTTAAAACTGTGGGGACTTGACATACATTCTTGTCACACTAATGCCTCACATCAAGATAGATTCTCTAATTGCAGAATGTGACACTTTACGGTACCGATATGATGGGCCAGTAGAAGGGGAGAAGACCATTGAAGGAAAGTATCCCTGGTTAAGCAGAGACCATAAAACTGAGCATATTGCTGAACTTGCTGAATTTCTTGCAGCACAGGACTGGGACATTACCCAGGTCTTAAATTGTAAACGTAAACAGAATGAACCGATAGCTGAATATGCTTCTAGATTCTTGCAATGCTGGAAAGAGCAAGCCAAATTACAGATTAAAGAAGAAAAGGATCCCTTTTTTGCCTCTATGCTTTTAAATGCTGTCATCACTGACTTTGTCAACTGGTGTGGCACAAACCACCTCCAGCTGAACGCCAGTAAGACAAAGGAGATGGTTGTGGATTTCCGCAGGAGGAGGACACCTCCGACTGTTCCAGTGAACATCCAGGGTCTGGACATCGAGATGGTGGAGTCCTACAGATTCCTGGGTGTCCACCTCAACAATAAACTGGACTGGTCAACAAACACAGATGTCCTGTACAAGAAGGGCCGAAGTCATCTCCACCTGCTGAGGAGACTGAGGTCCTTTGGAGTGTGCAGGACTCTGCTCAGGACTTTCTATGACTCTGTGGTAGCATCTGCACTTTTCTATGCAGTGGCCTGCTGGGGGGGCAGGGAGCACTGAGATGGACAGGAAGAGACTGAATAGACTGGTCAGGAAGGGCAGTTCTGTCCTGGGCTGTTCTTTGGACTCCCTGGAGGAGGTGGGTGAGAGGAGGATGTTAACAAAGCTTGTATCCATCATGGACAATCCCTCTCACCCACTGCACCAGACTGTGGGGGATTTAAGCAGCTCCTTCAGCAGCAGACTTAGACTCCCACCTTGCAAGATGGAGCACTACTGCAGGTCATTCCTCCCTTCTGCAATAAGACTTTACAACGAACTGTAATAATAACTGGACTCACACCACCACTTTTTTCTGGCATTTAAATTGTGTATATTGTAGATAGTTTTCTTTTTCTTTTCTTTTCTTCTCCCTTTTTCCTTTCTCTAATTTTTTTCTTAATTATTACATTTATTTAAGTTCTTAATATTAGGATCTTTATTTTTATAACTGCATTTTTGCACTCTTTGTGATGCTGCTGTGACAAAAAAAAATTCCCCCATGGGGGATCAATAAAGGAATATTCTATTCTATTCTATTATATTCTATTCTAAACGATTGGATCAAAATGCTTTGTACACCCTTAAGCCGCGTTCAGACCAAACGCGACATAGTCGCATTGGTCGTTGTATTCCTGTCGCGTCACACCCTGGTGTGTTCACACCGGATACAAAGCTGCAGTCACGGAGGTCGCAGGACGCGGCTGGTCGCCGCTGACCCCCTTCTCCCACCTTCCTTCTCCCTCCTTTTCTCCCTCATATATACATCCCGCTGCCCCTTTCAGTGCTGGCGGCACACATCCACTGCAAAGACACACACACACACACACGTTGAAACATATAGCCTAGCAAGCAGGGGAAGTGCTATGTTTTCAGAAAATAGTCTGCTCACTGAAATAAATGAACAAACTTAACAGAAAGCCCGACATCATGGGCCACCATAGACTTTGCATTGGGAGTCGTTGCTCACGTCGCCGAGGTCGCGTTTGGTCTGAACGCGGCTTTAGAGTGGCTGCACCCGATATTTTTCCTATGATCCTAATAGACTTTTGAAGAAAGTTAGAGAACTTGATGCCATAGGCCTCTTTGCAGCATCCAAAAATAAAACACAAGCAGTCCAACTGATTACTGAGGTAAAAGAATCTGTCCATGCATTCCAACATGTACAACCGACCAGGGGCAGAGGAAAGTTTAGACGTTACAGAGAGCAAGGGCCATTTGAACCCTCTCCGTACATAACGGATACTTTTCAGGTCAACCCAAAGGGCGAATATTCCCCCCCAGGGCGGAGAGGACGGGGACGAGGAAGAATGATGGACATGAATGATCGGTGCCTGTACTGTTATCAAGTTGGACGTTGGGTAAAACGGTGTCCCTTAAAAAGGGCCCAAGGTTCACAATATGGGCCTATAAATCAAATGCCTCCCTATTATCCTTCTCATATGACCTCTGGTTTCTCTCCACAAACCAATACACAGAGGATGATATCTGGAAGTAATCCCACAACCCAGGGTCTTCCGGACAGAGGGGCGGCTTCTTCTTCATTGTGGAAGCAATGATATAACCGACATTTGTGGGGCGTGAACAGATTGATTACTCTACAATAATTATAAATACCCAACAATTCCATGTTTCCAACGAACCAGCTGAGACACCAATCGAGGATGCACGTTTCTGGTAAACCTATCAAGTTCCTAGTTGACACTGGGGCAACTACATCATGTTTAAGAAAAAAGGACTTAAGTTGCCCTTTAAGTAATCGCTCTGTTCAATCTGTTGGTATCTCTGGAGTCCCACAACTAGAGCCCCTGTCCGTTCCACTGCCTGTTGATCTGGATGACATCAAACTGCAACATTCATTTGTTGTTAGTGCTACAACACATGTCCTTACAGGGACGAGATATATTAAGTAAATTAAATGCGGTCATTACATGTTCACCCAATGGTATTGAGGTTTATATTCCAGCAGACAAGACATATCAACTATTCTCTCATCTTGTTGGAGTGTCACATAATGCCACCAGTGTATTGACAAACTGTAATTTTATCTCTGACCTGTTTACTTTGACGAATATCAAAAAATTGGCATCTTGTCAGGCTGCTAGTGCAGCGTTGATCATACATTTAAAATCCATCAATATGCCCTTTTATGATGAAGTAATTGAACCTACTGACTTGGAGGAATTTCCACAGCCTTTTTTTATTTGTCACAGCTTCTTATCACAGTGTGATAAGAAGCTGATTCTGAACAAAAGATGAAGGCTTTCTAGCGCGTATTTAGGTAATGAAATGTACACACAGCAGTACGTATTTCACCACTTTTTCTTTATTTGGGGCGGGTGACATTTTAAGGGAAGCTGAGCTTCCCTTGCAGTCTTAGAGCAATCGCCACTGATTTATGCTCTGCCAATTTACAATCCCTGTACATAAAGATACGCAGGATTTATTTGCATTTACGTATAAAAATGATCAATACGTTTGGACCAAATTGCCTATGGGATTTGTTGATTCAGCTGTTGTGTATTCAGCCGCTGTTAATATGCACTTGTCTCAGTTAATCTTGCCATGTCGATCCTGTATTCTACAGTATTCGGATGACCTACTTCTTTGCTCAGAGACTGAAGGAGAATGCATTCAAGATTCTGTGGCCTTATTGACACATCTTGCTGACAGAGGTCACAGAGCATCACTTGCAAAGCTCCAATTCTGTCAGGAATCGGTCAACTACCTGGGATATGTTCTTCGAGCGGGGTGCAGGTATTTATCTCTGGAACGGGTATCAGCCATTATGGACATTCAAAGACCTCGGACAAAAACTGAAATGTTATCCTTTTTGGGACTGGTGAACTATTGCCGACCCTGGCTTGCGAATTATGCCCTTTTTGACTCTGTTAAGAAGATCAACTCTCCAAGATGCACCTGAAACTATAAACTGGACTGAGGATATGAGACATGCCTTTCGTCATATTAAGTATCTTTTGTGCTTGGCCCCAGCGTTGGGGCTTCCAGACTATAACCTCGACTTCCATCTATATGTGTCGGACAATGGGGAAGTCACCTCTGCAGTTTTAGTACAAATGCATGGTGAACGAATGAGACCAGTGGCATATTATTCCAAATCCCTTCCGTTGATTGTACAGGGCATAGTCCCCTGCTTACGAGCCGTGGCTGCTGCAGCAATGATGGTTGAGAAAGCACAGACTATAGTTTTAGGATATCCTTCCACCCTTCACACCACAAATGCGGTCAGTGTTATCCTTCTTAACATAACAACCCAACATATGACTAGTCAGAGAAAAAGCAATTATGAACATGTTTTGATGGGAACACAAAATCTGACCATTTCTACAGCGACTCATACTAACCCTGCCATACATCTAAAGTCCTTACTGCACGGACATAAGGAGATAGATGATGTTATGGAACATGATTGCATGGACCTGATCAATTCAACATCTAGTGTAAGAACGGACTTGCAACAGACACCACTGGAGAATGGTGAGTTAGTCCTCTATTGTAATGGATCTGCAATGAGACCAGATGATTCAACTACCCTTGCAGGTTATGCTATTGTAGATGATCAAGGCCATTGCCTAGAATCCTACAAATTACCAGTTTCTTCTGCTCAGGCAGCAGAGTTGGTAGCTTTAACTAGAGCCTGCCAAATTGCCAAGGATAAGAGTGTAACCATATATACTGATTCTAAATATGCTTTTTCTGTGGCACATGATTTCAGTAAAATCTGGGAGAACAGAGGATTTGTCACCACTGCTGGTAAGCCAATTCAACACGCCAATCTAGTTAAAGAATTGCTTGCAGCCATGATGTTGCCGGATCAAATTGCAGTTGTAAAATGTACAGGCCATTTGAAATCTGATAAGGAAGTTGCTATGGGTAATAATTTAGCTGACAAATATGCTGAAGAAGCACCCCTCTCTCCTTGGATGGTCTCTCATTTCCCCTCTCTCCAACTCTCTGATCTTCCCTATACAGTGGATGATCTTGTTTCACTTCAAAATCAAGCCTCTCCTTATGAGATTAAAAGATGGCAAAAGCGAGGTTGTTACAAAGACGTGGATGACTTGTGGAAGTATCAAGATCAAAGAATTGCCCTCCCGGAACTAGCATATGATCCACTCGCTTTTGTTCATGGGGTTACACATGCTAGTTATACAGCGGTGACTGATTACATCTCTGGATTGTTTTATACCACAGAACTGGAAAAACGGGTTCCACAATTTATCCAACATTGTCTGATTTGTGCATGATGCAATCCTAATATGCTTCCTCCACGACATGGGCATCCCCCCAAGCCTACTGGTCCTTTTGAATATCTGCAAATTGACTATACACATATGCCTAGATGTCGAGGCTATTCGTATCTTTTGGTTATTGTAGACAGATTCTCTAAATGGCCAGAAGCATTTCCTGCTGAAAAGAAAACGCACAAACAGTGATCAAATGCTTGATGGAACATGTGATACCACGGTTTGGTATTCCCACTTCTATTGATTCAGATAATGGCACCCCTTTAACCTCACGGGTGATCAAGTTACTTGCTCAAACTTTAGGTATTAAATGGACCTTTCATGTCCCCTACCATCCTCAAAGTTCAGGGCAAGTTGAACGCATGAATAGAACAATTAAAGAAAAGATCATCAAAATCCATCAGGATAGACAAATGAATTGGGTTGAGGCTCTCCCCCATGTTCTTTAAGCGATTAGGGCTGTGCCAAACAAAACTACTGGCTTGTCTCCCCATGAAGTTTTGATAGGTCGGCCTTTTCCTTTATGTCTTCAAGTCCTTAAAGACTCTGCCAACAGGAGCTCAACAGGAGTATGTAAAACTTTTGTTCTCTTTGTCGCCAAGTATTCTCAGCAGGTGATAAACTCCATCTTGTCGCCCTCTGAGAAACCAATCCATAACTTTTCTCCTGGCGACTACGTTCTGGTCCGCAGCCTGAATCCCACTGGGAAGGACCCACGATATGGGATATGGACCTGCGGTTCGAGTCCTCCTCACCACGGGCACTGCAGTCAAGGTTAAGGGTCAGCCACAATGGATACATGCGACGCGGCTCCGCCAGCAGTGCACCCGTCGGCTGCTCCTGGTTCTGGTTCTGCAACGCCCACACCCGATTGAGAAAGGCAACCTACACCTCCACATCCATACATCCACTCATTAACATTATGGTTACCTTATATGCTTTTATCATTGGATTGATATTATGCAATACCCTCCTTTATGGCGCTATTGGCAGCAACATATCAACAGGGGGGTTAGATTTGGATTTTGAAGGACTATTGAAAAAGGAAGGGAAAAGTGATCAAGCAGTCCAGCGGATCATGACGCATGTCAAACGAGCTATGACCAGAAAGGCAATAAAGCACACACTCTACTTAGATGTCAGTCTTCTTAATAACCAACTGGTGAGGCATCAGTGATGTATGTCGATATGCCGCAGGTCTACCAAAATACCACTAGACCAGCTGCTCTCCGCCTGCGCTGAAAGCTGACCAGGTTTGAATCGGCGAGCTTTCAGCGAACTATCTATGCCGCTGGCAAGCACAAAAATGTCACTGCACCAGCTGTCTCTGTCGACACCTCCCTCTTACGCCACTCACCAAAATACCAAATTGTTCTTAGGAACGCCTTGTCGGCACGGCGGACCTGACTTACGCTGCACCTGCGGCATGTCTCAGACGAGGCATGAAAATAGAGCCCATGGTCAGGATTGTAATCATAAAATATGACATGATTCTAAAGGTCACCTATGAAAACAGCAGTTTTAACTTTGTAAATATGGACATTTACTAAACGTAAACACTATTTCACCAGCAGGTATACTAGCTTTGCACCAAGCAGCAGAGAAGGATAAAAACTGAATTAATCTTTCACAAACAGGTCTTCCATAATTGCTGAAGACAAATGAAAATACAAAGTTCACTCTGAGTCTTACTGGTTCAAATGCTGCTTTAAACACACGACAGTTTATTGTTATGGATCTGTTATTGTCTATAAACAAGTGGAGCTTTTAGCCAGGGGATCATTTAAAAAGTTACAACACACTGCTCACCTCTTGCAAAACCTGTGCAGTGTCACCAAACTTTAGATTTTAGCCTGCGGGTTTAACCAACTCACCCCAGGACCAGCTGTCCCAAGTCGGAATCAAATAAACATCCACTTAGACTCTGTTTTTATGATTATTATAAAGTTGAGTTTCTCCTATATATGTAGGCTAACTTGCCAGAGGCTACTATGTAGCTTGCTCTGTCAGCAGCTAGCAGTTAGTTACCACTGGTCAGTTGTTCACATAACAGACCCAATGTCTGTCACAGTTAAAATCATTTTTAATTATTGAGTACCATCATTAAAACCATCATTCACTGATGTGTGTGAGTATTTATGACTTACTCTGTTTGCATACTCTGGAAACTACAACTGGATGAGCCATGAGCAAAAGAGACCACCAAAGAAAATAAAACTTCCAGGGAATGCCAGCTGTAGCAGAGGTTAACTTTTTTCATTGGTTGTTGCGTTAAGATATACCCAGATACAGTAGTGTTTCTGTTTCTGATTGGCTAAGCAAAAGCCAATCAGAAACAGAAGCACTGTTTTCCCCGTTTACATCCTGTTCCTTGCAGTCAATGCGTTCCATTCATTTGCATTGTGTGAATTTTTTTTTAGCTTGCTTAAGCTTCAGGTGTCCTGACAGAGTCCGACAAGAGGAGCATCTCTGTACAAGGTACCGAGTCCAGACCACAGGCCCAGACAGGCCGTGACTAACTCACTGCGTCGGAACCGTGAAAATATTGTTGGCTTATTAACCTGTTCGAGCTGAATGACTGATAATGCTGTTTTGGACACTGGAGTGAAGGTAGGAAATTTTTCCCTTGATTATTTAATATCAGATCTCTGTTTAAACAGTGGTGTGGTGTAATGAGCTGCTGTGAAAGCTGTAGCTTGGTGAACACAGGTGTGTCTGAGTGGATGAGAGCAGCTGTTTTGGTCAGACAAGTATGTTAATGAGAGAGACTCTAGTGATAAAGTTTGTTACACTTAAAGGTGTGGTAGGCAGGATCTGAGGCAGTGCCATTTGATGGGAGAAATCTTGAATTTAAACACTACCCCTCCCACCCAGTTTTCCCCTCAGCTCCTCCTCTCTTCCTCTCCCCTCCCTTTCTGCTCCAGCAAGCCCTGCCCACAAACAGACACTCCTGCTCACTCGCATCATTCAAATTAAATTCAGTTATAACACAGAAAATTATTCTGATTATTATGAATAGGGCCCAGTCAAAGTGAAAGTAAAAAGCATTGGTGCTACTGTCGATGCCAACAGACTAACAGAGAATACAATGTTTGCAGGACTCCTACAACTAGGAAAAAGTGACATACTCCAGGACCTGATGTAAACAGTTTTTATCGGAGCTACAACACTCAGCAGGTCCTGTTTGACAAGAAACACTTCTGTTACAGACACTTGGCTTACTTTGTTAAAGCGATTTACCTTTCCAGCAGAAAGGTTACAGGGTTTATAAGATCCCGAAGCGTCCCCTATCGTATATGCTTAATTTATGTTGACCTGCTTTTTAGCTCATGTTCGATGGTCTACCTCCTTTTTAAGCGCCCGTTATGCTGCCAGAGTCTCTGTTATTTACTTATTTTCTTGCCTGTGTTGGCAGTCGTGGCCAAAGGAGGATTCAGACAATTTTCTGTACCTTCTGGTTAGTTTCTAAAGTCCCATATTGTAGCACGCTGACTTTGTTTGGGCTTGTGAACATTATTCCAGGACGTGGAGCGTGCCTCACAAAATGAAGGAGCAGCGTCTGCCTCACAACCAATCAGGTCGGGGAGGCAGACAACGGCTTTTTTTACAGTCAAAATAAGGGGACCACTCAAAAAATGTAAAGTATTGACTACAGAGGCATACGAGAACACAGCGATATATGTACATACAGTATATAGTCACGTGCCAATGTATGTTTTGATTAGTAAAAGATGGAAGGTAGTGGACCTAAGCCCTATTTATAATAAGTGTAAGTCATCCTTGGCGAAATACAGGTGGATGCATATTTCAGCCGACATATAAATTGGTATTCCACCCATCCACCCATAAAGTTATAATTCTTATTCTTTGGAGTCACAAACTGTTGTCAGTCCATTTTGTGGACTTTCCCTTTGGAACATTGACAAATATATGAAGTTTAATCATCAATGAAGCTGAATACCAGGTGGTTGCATATTTTGGCAGACAGAGAAACAGCGGATATAAGGTTAGTATTAAGTTTACAATAAAAGTCTTTGATTTTACTTGCTTGTTTACCCCTCGGTATTGATATATAATAAGTGATACAGTTAGCTTGATTACCACAGAACACTAGTAAGACAGATAACTTCAATCGCTCATCATAGCTTTATGTTTTGCACATAATTTAATAAGTTAAATTATTCAGTTAGACTTTCTGGGAATGTATTCCTTTTTTTTTTTTCCAATCAGGCCCATTAATTATTTTTTTCAACTGTGTCCTTGTCCTTCCTGCCTTCAGCCTCTGCTAACTTCCACCATGCAGATTTTCTACTTGTTGTGCTCCCACCATTCTTGGTTGTCTTACATGTGTCTCATTATAATCAGCTCTGTAGTTACTTAAGCTCCCCACCACCGCCTCACCTAAATCTATTTCACTGATCAGCCCCCCCCCCAATTTATTGTTTATTGTTTATTTACCTGTTGACCCTTTTTCTTAAAATTTGCTTCTGTTTGTGAATTTGTTTTTATCCTACTGGACTTCTTTTCCAATGAAATCCTCGACCTGCCAGCCCACCATCATCCTGCTTTTAAACTGTAAAATGCACAGTAAATTGCACCAACGAGCCCGTTACCATCTGTGCAAGGGCACTTCCTTTCCGCCTGCACTTAGGCTCTGACACTTGGTTAGAGGATATTCATGAGGCACTTTATTCCATTCAGAGCCATTTAGTGTTCACCACACCCAAAGGGACACTATTGAGCAGCTCTCACTCTATAGGAGGCAGCTCTATCTCTCTGTGTGTTTGCAGTAATGTCCAGAAAGTGGGCTGCCTGGATTAACAGAAGAAATAACCACTACTGTATGGTTATTATGTATGGACCCCGGGAAAAATAGCCTGCCCTTGGCAAGTGCTAATGGGGATCCTTAATGAAGTAAAGTAAAAGTACTCTGGTCTCCTTTCTATACTTCAGCCTGCCCTCAGACCACCAGCCCCCAGAGTTTATTGTGCCTCAGCCTTTACTGCTCTTGAGATACAGCCACATTAAAACCTGTTTTTTACATTTTCTGCCTACCTGCATAGCTGACCTAGCCTGTCCTATCTGGGACAAGCATCGTGACTCCTCCATGGGGGCTATTTCAGCCCTGTGTAGATTGGAGGAGCTGTTCTTGAAAAACAGTCACCGCTAAGACTTGAAATTCATGTTGACATCAGCAGGATAAAAGCTAATTAGCTTAATAACAAACTTAGCTAAAATACACCATTACATTGTGAGGTTTTCAAGGTCAGGTCTGTCAAACGAGAATTGGACAAAAGTACATGATGTGTTCAAATGTCATGTCTAGAAAAAGAAAACACTCCTGTTATTTACAGACACAGAGGTAGCAGCCACTGATCTACTGATAGTGGCTGACCAAATGATAACAGAAACTTTTAAGAAAGTCACAAATGAAGGACCATAATCCTTTCTGATCCAGACTGCTCAGAAGTGGTCCGCGTGCCACTGTCAGAAAGGCAATTTAAATTGGCTTGAAACCAAAAGAAAAACAGAAAGGCCTTGTCCAGAATCACTTTTTTATTTGCCTGAAAACCATAGACTGTATATACTATGGACAACTTGGTTCCGCCTCCCGCCTGTATACGGATTTGAAGCCAAAAAGCTCTCGGTATTTCCAGGATTTTTCTTCATTTCCTGAAACCAGCGCTGCGCAGTAGCGATGTGCACAGTTGGCCGCACAGTCGCCGAGAGTCGCTGTGATGACGCTCGGCTCAGAAAGCGTATCCCTTGGGTGAGCTACATAATCCCTGAACGCCAATAGGCTGTATCAGGTGTCAATCATAGAAAACATAAACCCCCTAATAACTTTTAAA